CTCTGTGGGAGGACTGGGGATGGTAGGAAGCGGGGGAGGGTGGCTGGGTCAGGGTCAGAGAGGAAGGGCTGATCGGGAGGAAGCGGGGAGGGGTACAGGCTGGGGGGGCAGGAGGTGGATGGGGGTGTCGGGGGAGCAGGCGTAGACGGCTCAGCTGCTGGAAAGCATGGAGGAGTCATGGAGATGGAAACGCCTCGCACAGCTCCTTCCTCTGTCAAGTCTCACCCGTCTGGCCCTGGCGAGGCTGGGATGGGAGAGGGGTCAGGAGGCTGTGGCGCAGAAGCTGGGAGAAGGAGTGTCCGGCATGAGAAGGAGTCAGGCTGGCTGCAGCAGAAATGGGGTGTCGTGGGGGCACCGGGGTGTCAGTTGTGGGAAGAAGCCGGCTCCCTTCCTGTGCTAGTGGGGAGGGGCACAGGAAGTGTGAACCTCCTACTGCTGACTTGCTTGTTGAATGCAAAACAGCTGCCCTTCCCAGGGGCCAGGGCGCTGCCAGCTTGCCCTCTGACTCCACCTTTCCCGTGGACTTCTTTGAGTTGCAGTGCTCTCTGTCTGACCGCGGGCCTCCCGGCTCCGCCGTTTCCGGAGGTGCAGGATGCTCTTGGTATCCTGGCTGGTGTGGGTCTTCCCTTTAATTTTTCCCGGGTGAAGCTCGTGGGAGCACTGGGCTCATCTTGGATCTGTTTTTATTCTTCTTTCCTTAGCAGAGCAGCAGTTTCAAACAGTTCCCTGCCCTGAAGCCCTTGTGGGCTTAACCTTTGGGGGGCTCCTCTAATTTCCAAGGCAAGGGAGAGTACAGAAGGCTGCTCTTCTAGGCCTCGTAGTGGGCCCTTGCCTCAGGGAGCTGATCGTCTCCAGGGTAGACTCAGGTCAGGCTAGCTGGTCCCAATGGCCCCTTCTGGGGTGAGAGTCTATTGAGCCACCTTGACAGGCGAGAGCGAAATAGACCAGATTCGTTGGTTCGAAGCCTGGAAGGGCCCATTCCCGCTCTCTGGTCTGACCTCCTGCTGAACACTGGCTGGGGCACTTCCCCAGATTCATTCCTCCTTTGAACTAGAGCAAAAATCCAGTCTTGATTTTAAAATTGCCCATGATGGAGAACCCATCCCAGGCCTTGGTAAGTTGTTCCCATGGCTAATGACCTCCGTGGTTAAAACTTCGCCCCTTGTTTCCAGTCTAACTCGGTCTAGCTTCAACTTCCCACCGCGGGCTCTTGTTGCTGACGCCAGGAAGGGCCGAAGAGGGGTTGCTCGTAGAGAGATGAGATCGTGGTTATTCGGTGTAGGCAACTGTATGTCCAGGAGGTTCCAAGTGTATTAACAGGATGTTTAAAGTGTAAGTGCTGGGGGCCGGAACCTCGGCGGGGGTCAGTGGACCTAGCTTCACTGAAGACAGCGGAGCGGCTGAGTTCATTTATACCAGGTGAGGCTTTGGCCCTCTTTTGGCAGGGTGGTGCTGCATGGGTGTCTCTTAGGTGTGGTTAGGTCGAAGCCAGATTGAAGGCTTGGTGCATAAAGGCTTTGCCTACCTGTCCCAACTGCGTTTGTTTGACTTAAACTGGTTTTACCTGATTGATTAAATCGGTGCAAAAGGCTGTATGGACCCTGTTCTGTCGGTTTAAATTGG